CATAGAAAATCCGTTTCCATTTAAGTTTTGTTTATTTATTTATTAAATTTGTTGTTAATTTATGTTTCATCAATTTATTTTTTAATCTTCTAAGATTTTAATTTTAAATTTTGTTTTAATTAAAGAAGTGTTTCACGATCAGACATTATTAGATATTTCTATTTAATCAGCTGCAACTAAAATTGTTAAGATTTTAAGACATAAAATGACATATGATTTTAAGACAACTAAAATTTTGACAGATACGCCATTGTTATTTTAATATATGAATTTACGATATCAGAAGTAATTGAGCTTGTAAGAACGCACGATGATATCGAAGGTATAACTGAAGGACTTTTCTTAGCGTTAACTTATGTAGCTTTATGCTTTAAATATGGGAACTTCTTAGTTCGACAAAACGAGGTGTCCATATTGTTAGACTGTTTTCGAAGAGAAACGTGTCAGCCAAGGAATTCCGAAGAAAGAATGATTCTTATTAAGTACGATCGCAAAGGTATTTAGTAATTCTCGTTCTAATAAAATTATTGCGAATAATGAATTTCAATATTTCTTTAAAGCTAAAGTTATTTATAATATATTTTACTATAGTAATGCAATTATATTAAGATTTGGATAGATAATAACAAACATCGATAAATCTTTATAAAAAAATATACCAAAGTTAATTAAATTTAAAATTAATATTGTTTAACATTAATATTATATCAGAATGTAACTTTTATTTTGAACTCTTTATTATAACTCTTACTAACTTTATATTTGATACTCTCATCTCTCTCATTCTACGATATATTTTTAGTCTGAGAATATATATAATATTTAAAGATATATAAACTTAAAAATATACGTTTTTAATATTTATGTTTACCGTAGCTAAATGGTGTGTCAGGACTTTCATGAGTATATCTCAAGCAACTTGCATAGCTCTTATACTCGCTCCCATCATTGGACCCCAAAATACTGACAGGCCTTTGCCATTCAAGACATATCTACCATACTCGATATCTGGTTTATATCCATATTTAGCGACCTACCTTCAGCACGTAGGCGCAATATTTTATGGGGTATTACTCAATGTCTCGTTTGACTCCCTCGTCTACGGTTTTACCCTTCACGTCTGTGGACAAATCGAGCTGCTGTGTTATCGTCTGTCCAAAATTTACAAGGATCACCCGAAGCAGTACCAAATCGATACGGACAAAGGCACGATAATCAGCGAGTGCGTGAGACATCAGTTATACGTACACGAGATCGTGCGCAGGATACAATCGTTGTTTGTGTGGACTGTGACGATTTTATTCATTTTCAGCATGGTGACTCTGTGCACCAGTATTTTCCAAATGTCCAAGGTCGCGTAAACTGAAATCCCTACAATGATCTTTACGATTAATTCCTTACAATTCAGCAGATAAAAAAATCGTCGATAAAAAAGCGTCACTACTACTGAATACCTAATTCACAATGCGTATTGCGATATTTCACGAACATACTGAATTAATTTTTCTTGCAGAAGAAACTTCTTAGCGTCGGATTTTTGTCATTGACTTTGTACCTCGGCTGTATGCTGTTTCAAGTGTTCTTTTATTGCTGGTATGGAAACGAGCTGCAATTAAAGGTAATTATAAATGACAAGTAATAAAATAAATTAAAGCCGATTTTAACTTTTAATTTATGACGGAATCTTGGATGATATGCATAAAATATAATATGAATTATATATGTTCATAAACTCATACAACATGTTCTAGTCTTGTAATATTTATTTATAATGTTAAATTATAAAATTACTTATAATTATAAAATAATAGATTATTTTAAATTAACTTACTATAAACGGTAAAAATGTCTTTTGTCGTGTGTATGTGTAGAGCAAAGGCATTGGCGACGCTATTTATTCGAGCAATTGGACGATAGCCACAATGCGAGACCGTAGAAGTCTGTTGTTTGTAATGGCCACTAGTCAAAAGGGATTGAAGCTATCTTACTACGGGATTTTCAATTTAGCTCTCGACACTTTCACTTGGGTAAATACGACGATGATTCATTTTGTATAGCCTCTAATGGCAGTAACAAAATAATAGTCAACAATCCTTGCCTTTGCAGATTTTAAAAACGTCTTATTCTACTTTTAACGTCTTACAACAGACGTCGATGTGATTAGACTGAAATTATAAAAAGAATTACAGATTGTATAAAATTACGTATTTTCTTACAATCGTGTATTTTAGATATGTATACACATGAAAGCCCTTTAAAATAGAATCGTCTCTAAACTATTCATTATTTTTTAATAAACTATTTCATACAAAACAATATTTTACATGTGTTAAAATATGTAGATATGTGGTTTTTTTTTATTATTTTTTATATAACAGTATTACTAGAGCAGTTAATTAGTATATAAAAAGTGCTCTTAGTATATAAAAAAAAGAAATCCACAAGGATACGACTCAAAGGTGTGTTAAGAATTAATAATGTAAATTTAATTTCATTTTTTAGATTTTTTAGGCTTAATCAGTTTTTTAATCTTTTGCAATAAATATCAAATTAATAGACACATCGTGCGTATTACAAAAAATTAAAATCTATATAAAAGTATAATTCTATATTTTATTATGGCATAAAGATATAATATCATACTAAAGTTGAAAAAAATTCAACTTTATATTAAGTTTTTTAATAATTATTTATTTCACTGAAAAGAATAAGATATACACATGTATTACAGTAATTAAATTATCGTTAATCAGTTTTAATCGATTTACAATTATATAATCGGGCACAATTTATGAAAACTTTTTACCTTTTTCACTTTCAGGCTGGGTATCAGTTACATAGCACTAGTCTATATCTTTCACCAGTTTATTGCTACTTTCTGTACCTATATTTTCCCGCAGATATTTAATATTGCACAACAGAAGAGCTGCTCAACAAATTCTTATTTTACGAGACACGCAATGGTCTTACGTTATATATATAAAAACATGTTATATAAAAACAGTTTTTTCTCTTCGGTGAATGAAACATATGCGATGTTGGAAAAGGGCTCTGATAACAGACCAAGGCGATTCGATCGAATTAAAATTTAACGTGCGTTTGACAATGTTGTACTGCATTACTAATGCAGCTCGTATTGACGGAATGTTGTCGGAAATTTTATTATGTGATATAGAGAGAAAAGCGAATTCATACAATATTAAAAGGACAAAGAAAATTTCACGACGACTGAAACGGAACAAGAATAAGGTCGGCAATTACGTGAGAATAATACGTGTATGACGATATGGACATTCTACCAGTAAACTTTAAGGCTCTACGTTTTTGTGGCGCATGGAAAGAACGGGAGGACAATAATATATGCATTGGTTTTTTGCGCCTTTGTTACAGGTATGTCATACATACAGTTGTACTAAAATATATAATAAAAATAATACGTATGTGTATAAAGCATTTTCTGCATCGGTTTGTGAATTTTGTTATGCCAATGAGACTTTCCTTCTCCTCGTTAATTTATTCATTGGTTATTTAAAGCGGTGGATATCTGTATAGGTATGCGATTTTTCTCTTGATATATGAATTTACGGTACTCGATGTAATAGAGGTAATTCGCACGCGCGACCACATTCAAGAGTTGACCGAAGGACTCTTCATGGGATTGACTTTCTTAACACTGTGTGTTAAGTACGCGAATTTTTTGTTACGAGGGAACGAGCTGTCGGATTTATTAAATTGCCTACGCGTAAAAATATGCCAGCCAAGAAATTCCATAGAAAAGCTAATAATAGAAGAGCACAGCCGCAGAGGTATTGGAATAATTCGCAGATACATACACATATGTATGAACATTGCTTT